ATATTACATTGAATATTAAAGCTGTTGATGGAACCAAGCAAAAATTTTTATATATGAATAAATAAATTAATTTATATTTTAGAAATAATGAATTGAATTACAAAAGAAATAACATTCAAAAATATATTTACCAAAAACGTAAAATTAAAAATTAACTAGAAAGCTTTTCCTTTCCTCAGAAGAGAAACGATCTTTCTGACAAGGGTTGTTTTATTACTAATTTTTTTGTCAGATATTCAATAGTAATTTCCAGTGTTGATTAACCGTATAATTGCGAGCATTTGTAGCCCCTTTGCTAATGTGAAGCGATTATGCATGTTCGGTATTATGCAACGGCTGTTGAAATGAAATACTGAGAATAGATCAAATTTAAGACACGTAGAGTTATAGCTTGTTGTTGGAATTTGCTGTACAAAGGAATTTGCTAAGTCTGAAATATTTAACAGTTTATAACAGTAATATGAAAGAAATCGATATTTTAGATTTATAAAAACTCTCTTTGTTTATGATAAAGTTCTAAATTTTTAAACTTTAAAATTTAATTAAAAAGATTTTTTTTTAATAGCTTTTTTAGACAATTAAAAATTTCAAAATTTTAAATATAAATTGAGATATGTATAAATTTTAATTATAATAATTAATATAATATAAAATAATTAAACAAAATAAATAATAATAAATAATAAAAAACAAAGTAAAAGAAAAACATATAAATAAGATAAAATAAAATAAAAATTTGTATTTTTTTTAGTAATTTATTTACAATTTAATTTGACCAAAATTTTTTACATTTTTTTCAAGACATGCAAACTAACCAATTACCGTAAAATAGTGTGAAATATCTTTTATCGCATTTTGTCGAGTTCTCTTATCAGTGCCAACCTAACCAACCGACGACATGTTGATGGATATTGTCGCAACATGGCGGTCAAAATTAAACACTCTTGCATGATGGATGCACAAGTCCACCTAGTGATTCAGATCGACGATGATTAATCGATACCATTACTGTTTGCACCCACAAAAATTATCTCTATGAATATTATCTTCATATTATCATTATGTGCATCATGTTACGCGTTTGTTTGAAATAATTAACTTGAGACATCCTCGCTCTTGTTATCCTGCTCGCTTTGTTTGTCATGCGACTGTTTTATTCCGCAAGGCCATTGATAATGCTATCAGTATTTATGGTAATGACACAGTAATGAATTTTTCTTTGCATTGATAAGATATACTTTATAGATATAAATAAATTGATGTAAAAACTGTAAGGAGATATTTGTGCTTAAAATAGTTTTTTTTACCCATTTATATGCTTATGATTTGTGCTAAATTAAATGAATGACAGTTTACTGGTGTTGTTGCGTATTTATTCACAAGCGTGGTCTTGTTTTGCAGATGATTAGTACAGGTGCAATTAATCGGTGTGAATTAACTCCGAATTAACATGTAACGACGACGAGGCTGAACCAGTCATGGAAAACAGATCGTCGAGAGAAGTCGGTGAGTTGTTTACTAAACTTTGTTTTGTATTTATATTATTCGCTTATTTATTATAATTCACTGTGATTCACGACTAATGGCGTTAATAAAAGATATGCTCTAGTGTATGTACTATCGATTTAACATATCACATTTTTATAACTTACATATTATACTTTTTTAAGTTTTACTTAACAGAAATATTCTTTTCTACTCCATTTTTGATCTTTAAAAGTATCGAGGAAGAATACAAATTTGTCACGTGAAATATTCAACACACCTGTACAATTTTTTTTTCGACACTTGTCTAACAATAAGTAACGTTTATATCTATCTTGATTCTATTCAGTTATTGCTCCACGATTCCAATAATGATCGCTTTCAACGTTGATTTAATTGAGTTTGATTTAATTGATCCTTTGAAAGAAAGGGAGGAAAAATCAATTGAATTAATGTTGATATTAATCGACATTGACAAAAGCTATAAAATGAAACACGTTTTTATTTTACAAATTAATTCGATCCTGAAAAATGTTTTCTATACATTAAAACGACATTATTCAAATTATAGAAATACAGAATTTATTTTGTTGTGAATTGCAAATTGTTTAAAATAGATTCTAATTATTGATATTAATGGAAGTCAGAACTTCTTTTGCAATAAAAAAATATTTCCAATGTATCGTTCAATGACGGAAGAATTTGGTTTTAACTATTTTCTAATACTTTATATACATATATATATATATATATATATATATATATATATATATATATATT